TTCCAACCCAACACCCAGCAATTAATAGATCTATCTCTAAGAGCCAAAACAAATAAACAATACATATAAACCAGAAAGAGAGAGAGACAGAGAGAGAAAAAAAATGGCAAATCTAGAGAAGAAGAAGAAGAAGACTCCTACTGTGATCTTCTCCATCCTCCTCCTTCAACTTATTCTTCTCTTCCTACAAAGCCAAGCCATCTCCTCCTCAGAGCTGAACTGCAGAAGATCAGCAGGAGAGTGTGAATGGGAAGCAGAAGCAGAAATGGAGTCTGAAACCAGTAGAAGAATGCTTTGGGGTACCCTACAGAAGCATTACATAAGCTATGCTGTGCTGAGGAGAGATAGGGTACCCTGTGACCGCCCTGGAACTCCTTACTACAGCTGCCATGGAAATGGAGAGCCGAAGGCCAATCCTTATGTCAGAGGCTGCTCCATCATCGCTGGTTGCAGACAAGGTAGCCCTTAATTACCTTCAAAGCATGCATTATTGCCTATGGGATGTATTTTTTTTTTATTTGTTCTCTTCATTTGATCTTTCGATTGTAAGGAAAATTTATCAAGAACTTTGGGAGATCATGAGAGAACTGTTCAGGGTTTGTTCGGATGATCAGAGAGTTTTATTAAAGCTTCGTTTGGAAAGGCTTTTTTACTGCTTTCTAAAGCTATGTTTTAGTAAAAAATTTCTTAAAACCATAACAAAATTCGTAGTCTAAAGCTGTCTAAGATGAAACCTAAGATTATTATAATTTTTTTTTTTTTGTGTTTTAACTTTTAAGTTTGGTTTAGGACTTTTTTTTAATATTTTTAAAAGCATCTATTTAAAATAAAAATTTTCCGAAAGCTGTCATTTATTGTAAAAAATAGCTTTTCATCACAAAAATTTTTGAAAATTAATTAGCAAGCGGAAAGAAAATAACACTAAAAAAATTATGATTATTGTTAGAAAATTATAGCTAAGATGTTGTTTGAAATAGAAAAATCATTACGTGCAAAGTTCAAACGCCGCCTAGACTCCAATCACGTGATTTACGTATCTTCACGTGATTGGAGTACGGACAAAAAACTATGTCCGGACCCCTCCCGTATTAATCTATTATTTTGTGTTTCTGTCCGGATATCAATCAAAATGCGTCACATCAGCAGTATCAAGCTAGGTATCGAGCAGTACCGAGCACGGTACTGAGAGCGCGGTAACGAGCCGGATACCGAGTAGGAGGCGATATGGAGCGTTCTGATTGGTCTCTGAATGACGTTCCTAAATCTGTCTTAATCTCAAATGAATATTATATATTTCATTTGGAAAAAAAAAAAAGAAAGCTATAGATGTTGGTTTTATTTTAAAATAATTTAAATCTTTAGTTGAATTTGTATTATACTAATGGTATAAAGAAATTTAATAATTTTATGACTCATTTTATTTTATGTGAAGCATGAAAATATTCCATTAATTATTGCAAAAATTGTCCCCACGTTCATAATACT